CCTTCCAAAACGGAAGTCCGATATTCTCAATAATCAACAGTTCAAGAAGGTAATGGCGGATTCCACACGACTCAAATTTGTCCTCGACTGGAGCTGTTAAAAATGTTTTGCTCTAAAAGTTAGCTTGCCTAGTCGTCAAATTTACATAAATGTAAGATATCAATTGGATTTTCTAGATGTCTAGATCTAATCTTCACCCAAGTGCACCAACTCTTGAATAGTTTGCTCAGTCAACCGTGTCACAGTAAGTACTGGCCCTCTGCGGAACTCCTCCCTGATTGGTAGTTGAGGGGGGGGGCTTTTAAACTTAAGTTGAGGGCCATGCCTGCACTTCATTTCAAGTTTGCTCAGGGTAAGATTGAAGAATACCGGACCAGCGGACTGACTTTGCCTGCCTCAACCTTAGGAATTCATAATTTCCCTGTTTTTAATATCTCTCAATGGGGAATCTCGGACCGGTAGATCTATTCATTGAAATTTTGTCAGGGGGGAGACCCCCCTGAACCCCCCCTACTCGGTGCTTTTTCGGTAGTTCCCACCCCCCTTATTTGAGCCTGACCTACATCTAGATTCTAGATCTATACGTTTGATTCGCGGTGAGCTAAGATATCAAAACTAACAACAGCAAAACATTAAATTGTGGTAAAATTCAGAGGGGCATGCCCCCCTGAAACCCCCCTTCCTATTTTTGTTGCCCCCTGAAACCCCCCTACTCTTGGGGCCAAAACCCGTGAGTAACAATTGCGGGGTGGGAACTATCGAAAAAGCGCCCCCTACTCCTACTCCACCCCAACCACCCGCCCCAATTTCTCGCGCAATAATGTACGAGTGGTCCAGTATTCTTCAATCTTCCCTTGCTCAGAAACACAACAAGTCAATTGACAATTGATTCTATTACAATGACAGAACAAAACAATCTCATCCCCAGTCCAATGGACCAATACACCCTACAATAATAATTAGACTTCCTCCAATAGCTCGGAAGAAGCCTAAACTTTTATTACAGTGTGTATAAATTATTATAGACTAGACTAGATATAGACCTAATCAACAAGACTTGTAAGCGTTTTTTGTTGTATGTTGACACTGCTGTTGTTGTTGTTTTTTTCATTTTATAAAATTTTGACTTCTCACAACTCACACTCACAGTGCAGGCCCCAACGTTGGCCTACACTGCGGTGTAAACTAAGAACAACTAGATCTAGATCTAGATCTAGATAATCTAGATCTAACTGGTATAAAGCTAAATTCTTCCCCCCTATAATAGGATATAGTTTTTAACTACTGAACCTTTTATAACAAGCACTGGTTTTTCAGCTGACACAAACAGAGCAGATCGAATTATCACTCTCTCCTGTACAACACTGACACTGAGCGACGCGACAAGTTTGTTGACATCAGAGGGCTGCCATTTTGTTCGTGTAACGTCATAACTTCCGGTTTCTCCTGTGTGTTTTGTTCATCGTTTTGATTGAATCACCTAACTATGATTGATTTTCAAAACGTTGTGACTTAATTTTCTCTTCAATCGGGGCCTCAGAAGTGCAAAACTTACTGAATACATCTAAATGGCGATGTTAAATTTTACAATGTATTACACCTTTGGATTGCTGCTGGTGCCGTGGAGCTCCAGTGGCACAATCGGTTAGCGCGCCGTACTTATAGACAGTACCTTCCCCATGCTAGTCATGGGATAAGATATGCGGAGGTTGTGAGTTCGATCCTCACCTGGAGCATCCCTTTTTACACAATTTTTTTTTTTCAACAAAAATCATTATCATAGATTAAGAAAAGCTTCCTATTGTACGAACTAATTTGGATTCCCTCAGAAACCGATGTATTCAAGTATTAGTATTCGGAATGTCAACAGAGGTATCATATATTATTATTGTGTTTTTCCCCGGGAGGTGGGGGTCTGACTCCTTTTATGACTTTTTATGTTATGTTATTTTTTTAAAAACTTTTTTTGGGGGGACAGGCGTTTATTGTTGGGTTTTTTTTTTTGGGGGGGGGGTGAATGGCGACTAAGAAGAGGTGGAAGAGGTAGAGTTTACACTAACTTTTGGCACTAAATTTCTATAAAATTTAGGAAAAGGGAAAAAAATTAAGAAAGAAATGAGGTGAGGTCACTTTGTTGTCTCTATAGTTCAAGACAGAACAAATTGGTCGAGTCAAAATGACGATAGGCAGGCCGGGTGGTACATTATAAATCTTTAGAGGACGCAACTCGACCCCAGTTATTGAGGTGCCACTCCACGATTTCGCCGGCGTGAAATGTCGAGTTGCATTTTTACTTCGTGCATACGGTAAAAAAACAAGATCTATATCTTTTGTCCAAGTTTATTATAGAGCTGACAGTCCCCGCGAGCTACAGAAAGGAACTCCACCAAATCCCCTGTTCTCTTTCCCCCCCCCCCTAAACCTTCCTTCTATGTAAATATCGAGTGGGGCGTTGGGCTGTGAAACCGTTGGGGGTGGGGTGTGAAAAGTCAGCGACTTGCAAGATAGGGAGGACAGATTCACACACACACACACGCACAAAATATATTACAGTTAGTTCAGTTACAAGTTACAGAGAGAGAGAGGGGGGGGGGGGAGTGGAGTGAAGAGAGAGCCAATGGTTGTTAAAGTTAAAGTCAAAGGAAGTAGAAGAGAAGGATACTTGTTAGTCCATTGAATTTAAGGTTCAGTCCTAGTCACCACGTCAAACTCAAAGGCTTGGATTGGCCGAATATGATTCAAGGCCATAAAAACAGACGCTAAATGACATCTGGCGCTAAAACACCAGTGATGAACCAACGCCTAACACATTTCACCAGACTGGCCCTTTCAGTTATTCCGTTCCCTGTGTCTGTACGACCACATCCACCAACCAGACGCTGTCTCAAAACACTAGGGGAAAAACTCTCCAACTAAGTGCATGTAGGCCTAGTCAAAACTGTTCTAAGAAGACCATCCATTGTTGAGGAGAAAAGCGGCCGTCTTAGACAGATGACCGTCATAGAGTGTCATTACAATGTAAAAAAACCCAAAAAAACTCAAGGGAGAAAATAGGAAGTGGCTGTTTGTACAGGTGATTGTCTTATATTATACAGGTGACAGAGAAGGTCCGACTGTATATCCTCGTCTTTGATGGACAAGAAGCCATGTCATTGTACTTCTTTCTCTCTTTCAACCCCTCCCATGAAGACCACCCTTCCCCCTCCTACATCCAAACACACCAAAAGACATGGTACAATATAGTATGAACAACTACTTGTGCACACTAAGATACACTATTTTATCAGTAAAAGAACAATTTTTTAATCCTATGAACAAATAAAAGACAAACACAATGTACTCTGTTTTAACAAATGTGATTTTTTTATTTAGATATTTAACAAGAGTTATACAGGAACAAAAATGTATTAA